GGTGATGTGTGTGAGGGGTGCTTTGTGTGTATGTGAAGGGTGTTGTGTGTAAGAGGGGCCTCTGTGTGTATGTGAAGGGTGTTATGTGTGAGGGGTTCTCTGTGTGTATGTAATGGGTGCTGTGTGCCAGAGGTGCTCTGTGTGTATTTGAGGGGTGTTGTATGTGAGGGGTGCTCTGTGTGTGTGTGAGGGGTGCTCTGTGTGCATGTGAAGGGTGTTGTGTGTAAAAGGGGGCTCTGTGTGTATGTGAAGGGTGTTATGTGTGAGGGGTGCTCTGTGTGTATGTAATGAGTGCTGTGTGTGAGAGGTGCTCTGTGTGTATTTGAGGGGTGCTGTATGTGAGGGGTACTCTGTGTGAATGTGAAGGGTGCCCAGTGTGTATGTGAGGGGTGCTGTGTATGTGATGGGTGGTGTGTGTGTGTGTGTGTGGTGCTGTGTGTGTATGTGAGGCATGCTGTGTGTGAGCGGTGCTGTGTGTGTATGTGAGGGGTGCTGTGTTTGAGGGGTGCAGTGTGAGAGAGGTGCTGTGTGTGAGGGGTCATGTGTGTGTGTGAAGTGTGTTATGTGTGAGGGGTGCTCTGTGTGTATGTAATGGGTGCTGTGTGTGAGAGGTGCTCTGTGTGTATTTGAGGGGTGTTGTATGTGAGAGGTGCTCTGTGTGTATGTGAGGGGTGATGTGTGTGAGGGGTGCTCTGTTGGTATGTGAAGGGTGTTGTGTGTAAGAGGGGGCTCTGTGTGTATGGGAAGGGTGTTATGTGTGAGGGGTGCTCTGTGTGTATGTAATGGGTGCTGTGTGTGAGAGGTGCTCTGTGTGTATTTGAGGGGTGCTGTATGTGAGGGGTACTCTGTATGTATGTGAAGGGTGCTCTGTGTGTATGTGAGGGGCGCTGTGTGTGTGCTGGGTGGTGTGTGTGTGGTGCTGTGTGTGTATGTGAGGCATGCTGTGTGTGAGCGTTGCTGTGTGTGTTTGTGAGGGGTGCTGTGTATGAGGGGTGCTGTGTGTGAGAGAGGTGCTGCGTGTAAGGGGTCATGTGTGTGTGTGAGAGATGCTGTGTTTGAGGGGTGCTGTGTGTGAGAGAGATGCTGTGTGTGTTTGTGAGGGGTGCTGTGTATGAGGGGTGCTGTGTGTGAGAGAGGTGCTGTGTGTAAGGGGTCATGTGTGTGTGTGAGAGATGCTGTGTTTGAGGGGTGCTGTGTGTAAGAGAGATGCTGTGTGTGAGGGGTGTCATAGGATAAGAGTTTTTTTATTTGTATTTAAAATAATTTTTAAAAAAGCTTCATGTCCTCCCCACCATTCTTCTTACCTTTGGTGCAGGAGGGTGGGCACTGCCAGCCCTGGTGGTCTGGTGGTGAGTAGTAGAGCTACAGCCTGCAGCTCCTCTGGCTGCATGCTGTCTTCACTTCTCCCACGAGCAGAATGCTGTGCCGCGGCATCGCTCCTATCAGCATTCTTACGGGAGGAACTGCCTCCCAGGTCCCTTTTTCCCTCCCTGTTACTAACCAAGGGCCTTTGATCTCCCCACTGGCCTGAGAGGGCCCAAAGCAAGTGAGAAGGGCTGGCTCTCTGTGGGCTGCCAGGGGAGATCCAAGGATCTCCCCTGTCGGCCCCAGCACATGGACAACGCTGTGGGACCCCTATGCTTGTGGGGCCCCAGGTAAGTGCCCAGCATGCCCTTGTGGAAAGAGGGCCCTGACTTTCATATCTTTATCATTTCTGCTTTTATCTTTATTACCAGAATGGTTCTATATTTTTTGATCTGGGAGCAAGAACTAGCCAGCATTTACTACAGCGACCCCTATTGTCCCAAGATAAATATTATGTTCCTTCCAGAAAATTAGCTATTTAATTCTTAAGATTACAGATCACCTCTTTCGGGACATTGTTACTATTTTATTGACATTTGTGAATCCGATATAATTTTCTTCATTATTTTGGTGGTTTTTAATATTTTAGGCAAATAAAAGTTGTTTTAAGACACAACCACATTATATTTGACTCTTTGTTCCTCTCACTGAGGACTGTAATCCTTCAGTCTGGTGGTAGAGCAATAGAAAAATTGTGAATTTAGCTGAAGTTAACATCCATACTTAGGAGCAACAATCCCTATTTTTGGCCCGAGATTCCTCTGTCCCTCTTTTCTATCCTAATTTCCCTCTTTTCTAGTGTCATATTGTTGGTGCGTCTGATTGTATTACAGAGCTCTATAGCAATAATAAAAATAACAGTAATGTGTTTTTAAACTATACTAATGTGCTTAAAAATGTGTCTATGTAAATAAGATACATTGCTTTTGTTTTACTTTACATTTAGCTGTAAGTCAATTTTTATTAGTAAGTCACCTAAAATTTCTCAGAACATGTCCCATATACACCAATAAAATAATAGTGTCCCTCATTTTTTAATTGAAATGTTGGGAGGTATGCTTAATATAGTGGTTTTGGTGCATTTATGCAATCCTTCTCTCTGGCTATGTAAAATATTGTTAATCTAGATTTTGTGTAGCAATACAAAATACTGCTGAGGTTTCTGTTTGACTACAAACATGCATCTATAGGTTATCAGACAAATAGCTACACATTTTTAAAGGTCTCATGTTAGGTGCATGCTGATTCTGAGTGTGGCTGGATTCAGTGTTTCTCTATGGAAAGCAGTGGATTGGGAGAGAAGCAAATGGTGCGTACCCATGTACCATAGGTCCACATTGATTGGACTAGTCATCATGAAGCGTGAGAATCACAATGTAGGTAAATAAAGCTGCAGAATGGAAACTGTTCCATTGCTGAATTTCAAATAAGTTTCATTTTTTTTTGTCTTATTATGATTATTATTATTTATTTTTCAAAAAAAATCGGGACCTGAAAAAAATGTTTTTTTTGCAATAGAATTCACTAAAGTGAGAATTGTTGGCAATTCACTTATTTTTCCCTTAAATTTGAAATTTCAATTTGATTTACTACAACTCTCTCTTTAGTGACTAACAGTGAGGGTGTTTCTTTAAGACATTAAAACATGATTAGTCTATATGTCCATGTATGTATTCATCTGCCTACAGGAGTTTTAGTTTTTTAATTTACCAAACAGTGAGTGTGTTGATCGATAGCATACTTAAAAACATAAGGGCATACAAGTTCTCTTGAATTTGAGTTTTGTTACAGGTTGGCTATTAAATTGTGGCCATCACTCACTGTTTAGCAAGTAAAGCCTATGGTTTATCACGTAAGTAAGACATTGCAATGAAATAAACTTATCTTGTATTAAAGGACCACTCTAGGCACCCAGACCACTTCAGCTTAATGAAGTGGTCTGGGTGCCAGGTCCAGCTAAGGTTAACCCATTCTTTTATAAACATAGCAGTTTCTGAGAAACTGCTATGTTTATGAATGGGTTAAGCCTTCCCCCAAAGCCACTAGCGGCTGTCTCATTGACAGCCGCTAGAGGCGCTTGCGTGCTTCTCACTGTGATTTTCACAGTGAGAACACGCCAACGTAAATAGGAAAGCATTGTAAATGCTTTCCTATGCGACCGGCTGAATGCGCGCGCAGCTCTTGCCGCCCGTGCGCATTCAGCCGACAGGGAGGAACGGATGAGTATCGGAGGCAGAGAGCTCCCCGCCCAGCGCTGGAAAAAGGTAAGTTTTAACCCATTTCCCCCTTCCAGAGCTGGGCGGGAGGGGGACCCTGAGGGTAGGGGCACCCTCACGGCACTATAGTGCCAGGAAAACGAGTATGTTTTCCTGGCACTATAGCGGTCCTTTAAAAACAAAAATATGCCAAACACAAATGTAGATCCTGGTTTCCCGTATGTTGAATGTGATTAGGAATGGAGCAACATCTTAACGCCTTCAATGAAAGTGTATCTTGTTTCAGCCGAAGTTCATGGTATGTTCCTAAGCAGCTCATGGCTTTGCATGGCATGTAAAGGAAGATACAGAAATAAGACATACATTATGAACCTCTATTAGGCAATGCAATAAAACATCATGAACACTTGGAAAAGGATTTTGTTTAAGTCAGCAAGGAAATCCTCATAGCAACATATAATCTTTCTGGTTGCCAAGGCTTAAAAAAAGAAAGACAAGCGACAATATTCCAGAATGTTTTAAAGGTATGATTTTTTATTTTTTTTAACAAATGATCATCTTTAATAATTAAAATTAGTCTTTGATTCAGTTCCATTATTTCCCTGGTAATGTTGAGAAACAAACTGCCTTTTGCTCTTGGCTCTGATCCTTTTGCTGACATCAGAACTGTAGTCTATCTGGCAGGCTTCCATGTCATTGGCAACGTGAGTAGGTTGTCACAGGGGTTCAACACAGGAACTATGCATCACTGAGACAATAATGGGTGCATGAGCAAACATTTCTGCTGTTACAGTGACCCCAGATTTTCTCCCTGGCTTTTTTTATTCAGCAAATGTATGACATCCAGAAATCTGGAAAGTAATCCTATGATCTGGTTCATTGATCATTAGATAGAATTTCAACAGAAAGAAAGTGATCACAGTTTTGAACATTATCATCAGATTTGAAGTGAATGGATCATATACAGATTACAATTTAAAAGCGAGTTCACGTGCTTGGACCTAAGCTAAATAACAAAACGTTATTTATTGTTTAATTTCAATAACTTAAGATACTTCCCTATTGTGAAAACTTATATAAGTGATCGCTGGTCCACAGCTTTGGTTATTCTTTATCTTTATCAAAATGTTCTGTACTAAATAAACATTGGTGTTAAATTGTTAAAGGAGAAATCACCAATGGAATGTGTCTGCTGGTTCAACTGCTTTCTATGGTGACTCCCGACTTTTAATATTTTATATTACTTTTTAGAACATAACATGTTGATATATCTTCCTAACTGCTCCTATTTGGCACAAAGTCCATATTTCAGGTTCCTGTCCCATCGACCCAGGTTTGTTCCTTGGTGTCCCACTTTTGTGGACACCATGGAAATGCCTCTAGAAAGCGTAGCATGAACACATCATTAGACACTTTCGGGTTAAGCTAAAAGCACTAGGAGCAAGCCTGCATGAATGAGAGGTGTGTGTGTGTGCCCATTCCAATATGTTGATTTTTTTCTTCTATTAAAAAAGGGGGAGGAGGGGGGAGATATATACATATATGACATGTTACAGAGAGGAGTAAGAAAAACAGAGAGGGTAGAGAGACATAAAGGTAGGTAAGAGACGGACGACAAAGGGCAAAGGAGATAAGGTACATTAAAGAAGGGGAAGACATTCAGAAGGGGGATAAAAGACCCAAGGAGGTTAAGATGCCAAAAAGGGTACAATAAAGACTCGAGAGCAAGAAAAGAATGACAAATGGGGGATACAATATGCTAAAAGGGAAAAGAGAAACAAAAAGGTGTAAGGATGCACAAAAGGGGCAAATGAAAGATCTGAAGGTCTCAAAAGGTGAGTTAATAGACACACAGGTGAAGATGAAATAAGGGGGAAGCAAGATGCATCTTCGCCTGTATAGACAAAAATCCTTGCACCAGCCCTCTATTGACATAGCTATTTTTCTAATAAGTGAATATATCTGAAGTTATTTTTTACTTAATTGCACTAGTTGTATACAAATTATTACAAACAAAAGTATGAAAACAAGTTTTTAGTTTTTCATTTTTGTTCTCATTTTTAAAACATTTTATTCATAAGTTTGATATATATATATATATATACTATCAGAGGAAAACCCCATTCGTTCTTAAATATATATATAATATGTATGTGTGCACTGGGCAAGGATTTTTGGTTGTGTCTCTCTTTTATCCCCCCAGTCATGCATTCGCTGTAATTGCAGAGCATGCCCTAATTTCAGCAGAAAAGGAAGGGACACTGTTGTCACTGATCGTCTCCCAGGGGTTGAGCACAACAGCAGTGAGAGAAGACTAGCTGCTAAAGAAAAAGGTAAGTAAATCTTATTTTTTTTGGGGGGGAGGCACCTGGCAGCTACTGGGGTTAAGAAATACCCCAAATGTAAAAAACAAATATTGGCTTTTAATGCTGGAGTGTTCCTCAAATGTATGTGTATTATATTATTATTTGTGTATATATTAAAAACATAGATATCAATATATGCTTATAATTGATACACACATATATGTTAATATATTGCACATGTGGAGGTGAACGTGGAACTTTGAGGGGTGGTGAAAGTGACAGTGTGAGAGAGTGAGGGAACTGATAGTGACAGGGTGAGTAGTGCTTAATGTGACAAGGTTGGGGGGATGAATTGTTTAGATTTGGGACAGGTTAAATTTCAGGTTAGATAAAAGGGGTGTTCAGGGCATGTGGAGTCTGAAGGGTTATTTGCAAAGTGCTCCCCATCCTATTTATTCTCATGTCCTGCCAGCCTCCTATGACAGTTGCAGTAACTTGTATACAGTGTGCATCACCTGTCCTTGTTCCTCCTGCTAGGCATTTCCTGTGTGAGAGGCTGTTAGTGGGCAGATGGGAAGTGATCCCTTCCACTTCTGTCCAGCCTCACACACAGATACTTGAAGTTCTGGGACAGCATTGAGTTTATACCCTATATAACTTTTACTGCAGCTCTGCTATCAAGCATAGAACAGTGACTGGACTACAGAGGACACTGGCCAAGGCTACTTGGACTTATGTCTCCCCACTATCCCACATAACATAATATTTCATATAATAATTGTGGCGAAAGTAACCTCGCCACTAGTTCTTGGAGGGTCCTGTTTGCCAGCCTCCTGCCTCAGGACTATGAGCCATGCAGAAAGCCTCATAAAAGACTTTGTTGGTGCCTTTTTGCTATTCTGTTTGGTAGATTGCATTCCCCACCTATTCTAACATTGTCCCTTTCGACTATCGAACAACCACACAAACCAGGGACCACCCGGGAGCTTGTTAACACCTATTAACACCTTGGACCGGTTCTTACTGCAGTGTTCTAATTGTTCGTCTGGGTGGCCGCAATTCCTGAACCCCTGAAATGATCTGGCTGATTTTTGGGTCACCCAGATCAGGGTTATCTGGGGATGTAACTTTTGTGGGGGTATTTGCGTGTTTTAAGGTATTTTGAGGGTTTTATAAAAATGTGTGTTATTCTGACTGGAGATAATTGAGTTAGTACAGTCCATGACTCAATTATCTCACAGGTACAGAGGAGGTATTATCTGATTATGTATGGGAGTGTCCTGGATGTGAGAGCGAATGTGGTTGTGTAATTGTTTATACTGTGGTTTACTCTCAGATCCAGGGGGAGTGCACCTTGCATGGGAACTTGCATATAAGGCCAGTTGTGGCTCCCATTAAACAAGTTCCTGCTTACCCTCAACATAGAGCCTTGTCTCATGTGTGTGAGAAAGGGCTGTATCTGCCCTGGGAATTGCTATATCACTATACTCCTCTGGTTTATAATCATATATATGTGCAGCCTGCTACACTCTCTGGAGTAGGAGAGGTCTGCCCACTGGAAGCTGGATCCTGGTCTTGGGTCCAGGGTGGGTGGAAGACAGCGAGACCCCAGCCAAGCTGTAATGCTGGAAGGAGGGGACTACGGTGCTGGTCTGGTGCGGTGCTTGTGGTACTCGGTAAGCACTAGGAAGCAACGAATGGCGCAGGCACCCAGTCGGGGTGCCAGGCGGTCTGCCACAATAATATTTGGAGCATAAAGGTCCACCCCAACCCTGCAAAATCAGTATTTCATAACGGCAGAATCATCATGAAATACTGATATTGACTGTGTTGGAATCTCACTGAAATTCCAACCCAGTGAAATTATATACTGAGACAAATTAGGGACTACTTCTAGAAAGTGGTGTATTTTGAAATGGTGCTGCCCTAGGCATGACAGATCTCGGGCACCCTCTAATTTAAATTTACCTGCCCCTTCCTGCCAAGGTCACACCCCCTTCCTGCCAAGGTCCTGTTAATTAACACACATTTTTACTGACAGACACACACTCACAGACCAGCACACACTCTCAGATATACTGACATATACACACACATACACTCACTGATTTGACACAATCTGACAGACACATACAATCATTCAGATACACACTGACAGATGCATACACTCACTGACAGACACACATAAGCACTGACAGATGCACCCACTTACTGACAGACATGCACAATCACTCAGACACACACATTCACTGACAGACCAACACAAACTCACTGACAGATGCACACACACAATGAGACACACTCACACAATGACACACACACATAATAATTGACACACACTCACACTCACTGACAGACACACACTCACTGATAAACACACTCACTCACATTCACTGACACTCACACACACACACACTCACATGTACTGGCAAACACACACATTTTCCCCCAACACTCACAATTATTATTATTTCTCTTAAAATTTAAATCCACCAAGCTTCCCTACTTTTGGGAGAGCTGGGTGGATTTTTACCTGGGGTCCAGTGGGGCAGCTGGCCAGGAAGGGTAGGAAGGCGGGCGGATTTACAGGCAGGCTGGCGGGCGGCCACACTATTAGCAAGGGAGCTGTGATCTCCCTGCTCAGCTCCCTCGCGTGCCAAAGAGTGATGCCAGGAGCCGGGCCAGCTCTTAGGCCACCATAAAATGAGGCAAACAAGGCATTGGCCTGGGCATTTGGGGGTGGCGTTTTTTGCCGCCCTCTGGAAACTGCAGCCCAAGGCAAATGCGTTGTTTGCCATGCAGTAGATACATCCCTGCTTCTAGACACTGGGAGGAACTACTGCCATCTGGAAATGTCAATCCCACAGTCATCACCAGTGATGGCTGTAGAGAATTGGCTCTATATAAGGAGGGTCTTGCAGGAACCCTTAACAGATCAAAATGCTGTACTCATGCACATTTGCAAGACAACATCAGTGATGTCGGCTCCTGGCTTTGAAGAGGATCGGTCGAATGAAGATAGCAACACCTACGGGGGACAAGTTCTGGTAATTTAAACTCATCTTTGATTGCCCCCCGGTCACTGTACTCCCAGCTGTGATGTCACCATCTGAGTCTTTGCAAATGTTGCAAAGTCCCCAGATGATGACAGAGCCTATTGAAAGGTGATGAAAACACTCATCACTTATGGTACAGGTGTCTGTAGGCAGATGCCTACACGGCATAATTGGAAATCCAGCTCTGCAGACTGTCTGCCAGCTCCTGGCTACCTATCTGATGCCTACGCCATGAACAGTGAAATATGGACCAATTTATTGGCCTTAACCTCTCTTACTTGATCATGATTTGGCAAGCAAATGTTTCTGTGATGTGTAATCCCTTAACAGCTAAGATCCATATTTTTACTTTCCTTGGCTCTAAAAATCAGCTGTAAATAAGAGGAATAAAGTAATAACTCTATTGATTAAAGATTATCTGGTATGTAGTTTATTTACACTTGGTATAATCATGACTTATCACATTACTGCATTCATTAAAAATACATGCTTTAAATAAAATGTTGCGATATTTCATTAGTATAATACTGGTATTTTTGTATTATATAAGTCTAGTACAGAGCAAAGCTTATATCTAAAAATAGCTTTCAAAGTTAGCAGGTTTAATTGATCTTCTGGAAAGGAGATCTTATGACTGCACAGAAATTGTGCTTCCAGGATAGAAATGTCGTTTCTGATCTCTCCCAGCAATCACTATGACCTGGCTCTGTGGGTATTTCCTGAGAATCAAGGGTCAACAGATCTCCATGAACTGTGCCTGCTGATCGTTAAATAAGCAAGTCCCTGCTTATACACACACACAAGTATATATGTACATATTTTTTTTTTTAAATCTTTTTTCATTTTTTTGTGATTCACTATTATACATTATTACGTTCTATATATATCCGGAAAATATAATATATTATTTCTATTATTGGTATTAATATAGTGTCAACTTAATCCGCAGCGCTTTACAATATTATAAAAGGGGGAAATGTAACAATAAATGTGACAATAACATTAAAATGTTACAGGAACAATAGGTTGATGATATAAACAAGAGTATTTATGTAACAAGCACAGTGTTAACTCTTGTAGTGCTCTTGTGATTTCCTCTCGTGTTTCTTAACACATCAGCATTACACATAGTTAAAGCAAAATGCCCTTTAACATACACAAACGTAATCTAAAGTCAACTTTTCTAGAAATATTTTCCAACCCATAAAGATGCTTTCTTTTCATTACCCTCCTTATGGGTTTACCTTAATACAATAAACTGGACAGTTTGCATTGCTGGTGTTTTCTAAGTCACTCAGCCCTTCTAAATCAATTTGCAATAAAACCATGAAGCAGGAGTGTACAGCAGAGACAGACAGGCTGACACACACTTCTCACAGGAAAGCCGTCTGCCCAAATGCCAGGGACTGCCTTCGATGCACTTGTAATATGAAAGCAACGTTTCTATCTCCTCCCCCAACTTTCTTGTCATAGTTGCACCTGTGTCTCAGGAGGCCAGCACATTCACACACTGTCAGAAAGACATAGTTGGCAGCCTGTTATAAAATGTGTCTAAAGGGAAAGGGGGACAGAAGGAGAACTGCTGCCTTGGTAAGGAGGAATTCAGCCAGCAGCCTCCCCCCACAGCTCAGTCCATAGTTGCAGTGTTAAATGCTTCTGTTCATTTCCCCCACTCCCCCCTCCTCCACTCCCACATCAGCCTCCGTGTCAGCAGTAGCAGCACCGGGAGAAGTAGCTTCTGGCTGCTGCTCGGAGCTCACACAAGGCAGTGGGGAAGTGTACGAGCAGCCTTGCAATATTGTTACGACTGCACTGTGCTACAGCAGTCACTTAGCTCCATTCCAAAAGTTGGGTGGGGAAGATTTGCAGCTGCTTAGAAGTTGCAGAGGGTTTCTGTCCTCTTGACAGCCTGTATTCTATGTTCCAATGTTACTGAGGGTTTCTTACAGCAACCTGGTGGATGTACAAAGCTATATGATCTCTTGGTCTCTTGTGTTTGTATTGAGGGCACTGGCCCCTCCTGCACACAGATCAGGCATTTGAGCAAGGGAATTCCGCTCTGTGTTCAGCTCCAGGAGAGAGATCAGCTTTCTTTACATCAGATCTTGTGATATATATTTATGTTGAATTTGCCATTTCTGGAGTATTGGCTGCTGATGAAAGCAGACCCCCTCACCCCATCACTGACCTCAAAATAATAATAATAATCTGTTTTTCTATCGAGCTCTGCAAGGAAAGTGGACCAGTTCATATAAGGGGAGCTTGATGGATTAATCTGTCGCTTTGTAAAAGGGTCGCACAGGTTGGCAGCACCCTGGTGCCGTTTAACCAGCCCTGGAGTCCAAGATTCAGCATCTGTGTTAATCTGCAGAAAGATGATAAGAAAACAGACTCTGATCTGAGAAAATCTTGACGGGTCTGTAACCTCGTGTGAGCTGAGTTTCCGTTACAGAGAGAGCAAGCTCATGCAGTTCTTTGCTTTAGACAGAAGCAATTGGACATGGTACACTCAGAGAGAAGAGCAGGGAAGCACTCCTTATAACAAGGGGCAAAGTCAAACCCAGTTAACATCTGGAGCAAGAGGACCCTGTGGGAGATTTGGAGCTGCCTAGTGCAGCTACTGTGCTCTTAAACAGAATAAGGTAATTGTGTGACTCGTAGATTCTCACTCTGGTATCTCCCAGGAAGCAAAGTGTTCTGTCTCAAGCGCTAAAGATCTAAAGGCTGCTGTTTTGTGAGGTTCACTTTAAAGAGAGGAGAGAATTGATGCCAGTTATTTCAACTGAGCACATCAAGTCATCATTCTTTTTATGCCTTCTGAATCCAAGTCTTTGCTGATTTCTTTTGATTTCATCTGACAAGCAGACTCAGCCTGAATTTCTTGTGCTTTTTCGAAAGCAGGGGGCAGGGACACGTTGCCCCCAGCCCTGTCCTTTGTATGCCCCCCGAGCAGCTTGCTCTGCCCTCTTCGTACGCACCGGTGATGCCATGCCCCGCAACCATGGTGGAGGTGATGAGGGAGGCTCCGGGCTCTGGATGAAGAGCAGCACTGGAGGGAGAGGACGAGGTAGAGACCGCTACTACGGCATGAAGGATGTGGAGTCCGGCCGAGGGAGCAGGGTGTTGTTGAACTCCAATCGGGGAGACGGCTTGCTTTTGCTGGGGACAGGAGAAGCAGCCAGGGGAGGTATTGGAGCAGGAGGTACCTTGCAGGAAAGTCGCAGGGGGAAGCAGGGAGCTCGCATGAGCTTGCTGGGGAAGCCACTATCTTATAACAGCAGCCAAACCTGCAGAAGGAACGTCAAGTACAGGAGGCTACAGAACTACCTGTACAACGTGCTTGAAAGACCCAGGGGCTGGGCTTTTGTCTACCACGTCTTTGTGTGAGTAAACCTAACATTATTTTTTCTTCATCTGTAATCTCTAAATAATGGAAACTGGTTAAAAATGATTCAAAGTAAATGTTTTAAGTTATATGCAAAGTGCAATATATTATCTTTGCTGCAGATGTGCAGTACAGAAGCTTATACCAGTTTACCTTCTGATTTCTAAAAATGACAGCAGATTATATGTGCACCCAATATAAGCTGGGAAAAAGAGCAAAAAAATATATATATATATTTTATCATAAAGTATATTTTCAGCTTTGCATGCATTACATTGAGAGCCCAAAGACCTGCTGTTTACCAAAACCCATATACTGTGTTACCTGTGGCCCATAGAAAAAATGAGTTATTGCAGTTGTGTGTATTACATTTTGTTGGAGATGTTGTTTGAATCATTATGGCATCTATCTTTTTCAAGTGGTGACTCTTTGCATAAACTTTAAACAAGAGAACTGTTCATGTATTACGAAAGGAATTGCGTGTCAATCATGTATGGATTGTGGCTGTGAAATAGTTATTGTGAATTTATTATGTTTTGATGTGGCATTATTACAGGGGGCAATTGGGACTGATGTGTCAAACTAATTGTACAGCAAAGTTCTAGAGATGAGCAGTTACCATGGAAACAAATAGAATGGTCCCACTGATTGCTCCAGTTGTGGTACTTTGCCCCATAGTTGCACTATTATCATTGTCCCCTTTTGTAGTGTACTATTTTCACTGCTCACTTAAATAGCCTCATCACTTGTTTTAGGCCTGAAGACAAGTGAAAGAGATTTCAGAAATAGCAGCTGGGCGTGCTTGAGTCTCACAAGCCAATAAACAGCGATCTGTTGCTTGTGGGTAAGAGCTATGAAGAAATAAACCACAAACTGTTGCTGATAGTCTGTGTGTATGACTCACTCTGCCTGCTTATTCTGCCAGTGCCCAGTAAAAGTACCCTGCTCTAATCGCTGGTGACTTGGAGCTCTTATAGCGTACAGTTTGAACACTTGTTC